ATCTGTAAAATGGAAACAATTATGCCTACTTTTCAGCGTGGTTTTGAGGATTACAGACAAGTGCCCACCGCACACTAGGTTATCATAAATGGGTGCTATTATATGTCCTAGCCTCTCATTGTGGGGCAGAACATTAACGGACCGATGGACCAGTCAGAATCTGCGACCTCCAGATCTGAGAGGGTAGGGAGGGCTCCCTGTGGCCTCCTCCCTCCAGGAGGTGGGGACAAGGTGGAGGAAGGGCTGCAGGAGGAGGAGCTGGTGAGCCTCGGACCCGCCCCGTCCTGTCCAGTCTGGCCTGGGCACTGAGGGAACCGCTGTCCTAACCACCGCCACCCTAGCAGCTTGTCCTGGTGTCCCGCGCCCTGCGCCGTGTCCAGTCATGACCCTGCGCCCGTCACTACTCCCGCTCTGTCTGCTGTTGCTGCTGCAAAGTGGGGCGGTGTGCCGGGCTGAGACTGGGTTCGAAACCGAAAGTCCTGTCCGGACCCTCCAAGTGGAGACCCTGGTGAGATTGTCACGGTCTGTGGGGCAGGTCCTTTGAGCGAATACTCGTCTAAATGAACCTGTGAGCCGGGAAGAGAACTTCAGGGACTGAGTTGGCGGGTGTTGGGTCTACGGGCAAGTACAGAATCTTTGGAGGATCCTCCATGACTCCTGTAGTCTGATCATAGGTGGAGCCCCCCGAACCGTGTGCGGAGCCCGCTGCCTTTGGAGACACGCTTCATATACACTACACGGTGAGGGGTATGGGGGCCCAGGCGGAGCCTGGGAGGGGGCGGCACCCTGATGAAACACGTCAGCTTTGGCTTGGACACGTGGCAAGTGGTTAGGGGAGTAACAGGGCTCTGGGGTCTTCGAGCACGTGGCGGGTGGCGGGTGGGGTGGCGGGCGGAGGGCGGAGAACGCTCCTCTTCCTAGCCCATTTCCCTGCCCTGCTTTTCCGCCAGTTCCTCCTGGGCACTAAGAAGTGAAGGGTGGAGAGATCTCCGAGAAGTGCCAGCCCTTTGGGGCTTCCTGTTTCTTTCTGCCCTAGGGGAGTGCTCGGCTGCTGCTGCTAGAGGGTTACCCCGCCCAGCGGCCCAGGTGTGTATTGCACCTGCTTGGAGGGAGAGGTACTAGGTGTTTGCTCTGGATGCTCTCTCCTCCCAGGGCAGCTTGGTAGATGGACGTGTTATTGACACTTCCCTGACCAGAGACCCTCTGGTTATAGAACTTGGCCAAAAGCAAGTGATCCCAGGTATGTGACCTGTGCCTCCCATTTCTTATCCCAACATAAGTGCTTTCTTAACCCCTTAGAAATGCTCCCTGGAATAAGACCCACATCTCTACCAACCACCTCCTGAGGTTCAAACCCCATTTCTAATACTCCTCTTGCCCCATACCCTACTGGAAGGAAACCAGAGATTTGAGAGGCAGGGAGCTCAACTAAGGATCAAGGGGGAACCTTTGATTGCTCCTGGGATTTGGGGGATGTAGGCAGCTTCCTGTTCAGTTGTGTCTTCTTCCTCAAGGTCTGGAGCAAAGCCTTCTAGACATGTGTGTGGGGTGAGTATCTGGGCAGAGATGGGATTGGGTACTCTATTTGCATGGGTAGAGGTGTTGTTTGCTATCCCTGCTCCTAGAGGAGGCAGAACATGGGATACAAGGCCCTGGCTTTGCATTGGTCATTGGTACCTTTGAAGGCATCCAAAGCCTCTGTGCCTGTCTGGCTATGGGGTTTTTTGGTTTTTGGGGTTTTTTTTTTGAGGAGTTGAGTCATGTGGGGGGATGGGCACCTTTGCTGGTCAACCTGTTTGGTGCCATGTGGGAAAGTTCATCTTCTGAGTAGGAGTACCCAGAGGTTTGCTCGTGGGGCTTCAGATGGACTGAGGTTGCTGGCCCACCTGGTCCCACCTCTGGCTGTGACTTACATTCTTTCCCTCAGAGAGAAGCGAAGGGCAATCATTCCTTCTCACTTGGCCTATGGAAAACGGGGATTTCCACCATCTATCCCAGGTAACCTGCCTAGAGCTTCCTCTCAAACCATCAAAGGAGCCTGAGAAAATCTAAACTCAGTTTGCTAAAAGGGACAGGAGTGGCTGGAGCCTCCTTATGCATGGCCACTTTCTTCCTGCTTAGATCATCAAAGGGACTAGAGAAACTATTAAGGTCACCTGGCTTGCCTTCTGGCAGCCAGCAGCTTTTTAGAAAGGAGACACCTGCTCATGCCACATGGGTCTGCTGCCTGTCACCCTTCCCAGAACTCTGGACTTCTTTCCTGCCTTTTTCCTATAATTCTAAACTGTGTCATTTGTGCAGTTGGCATGACTTCTCACCATATCTCTACCCTTCTTTTTAGCCTTCACCAGAGAAGAGATAGTAAAAATGATTACGATCAAGTAATTCAAAACAAAATGAAACAAAAAACAACTTTTAAAATCCCAGCCCACTCCATGACTTTAAAAGCCCTCACAGGTCACTGCTAATATCTACTCTTTTTTTTTTTTTTTTTTTTATCCTCACCCGAGGACATTTTTCCATTTTTTGTTCAGGTAGAGTGGGAGGGAGAGAGAGGAACAGAGAGAGGGAGAGAAACATCGACGTGAAAGGAACACATCGAGTGGCTGCCACCCGCACAACCGACCAGGGCCGGGGACAAACTGCAACCGAGGTACGCGCCCTTAGCGGGAACCGAACCCGGGTCTCTCAGGACCGCAGGCGGATGCTCTAACCGCTGAGCCAAACCGGCCAGGGCTTTTTTTTTTCTTTTTTTTATCCTCATCCGAGGACATTTTTCCATTTTTTGTTCAGGTAGAGTGGGAGGGAGAGAGAGGAACAGAGAGAGAGAAACATCGACGTGAAGGGACACATCAAGTGGCTGCCACCCGCACAACCGACCAGGGCCGGGGACAAACTGCAACCGAGGTACGTGCCCTTAGCGGGAACCGAACCCGGGTCTCTCAGGACCGCAGGCCGACGCTCTAACCGCTGAACCAAACCGGCCAGGGCCTTTTTTTTTTCTTTATTGATTTTTTGAGAGATAGAGGAAGGGAGAAGGGAGAGAGAAACATCAATGAAAGAGAACATCGATTTGTCACCTCCAGCATGCCCCCCACTGGGGATCGGGCCCACAACCTGGGCATGTGCCCTGACCAGAAATTGAACCAGCGACCTCTTGGTGCATGGGTGGATGCTCAACCACTGAGCCACACCAGCCGGGCCTGATATCTACTCTTGAAGGCCTGAGATTGGACAGATTTCTCAAGATGTCTATCTCTTGCTTTTGGTTATAACAAATGTTCTATTAGCTAAAACGTGTTGTACTTTAGAGTATTGGGGTAAAAGTTTTTATCCCAGTTCCAGCTTAGAGGGAGAGCTGGAAAGAGGATAGGGGGACCAAGAGAAACGAACTTTTATTCAAAGCTCTTTATTACTTTCTGCTTTCTAGTGCTGCATTTCTCCAATGCATATCTGCATTTCTCTCCCCATGCCCCACTTATTCCCCACCCCTTATTATTTTTTTTTGTTAATCCTCACCTGAGAATATTTTCCATTTATTTGCAGATAGAGTGGGAGGGAGGGAGGAAGGGAGGAGAGAAACATCAATGTGAGAGAGACACATCGATTGGCTGCCTCCTGCACAACCCCAACTGGGGATCAAACCTGCAACCCAGGTATATGCCCTTGACTGGGATTCAAATCCACAACACTTTGGTTCACAGGCCGACACTCTAACCTCTGACCCAAACCGGCCAGGGCCCCACCCCTTATTTCTTAAGACATATCCTACTTCCTCTCTAGCTCTTATGTTAAAACACCTAACAATCGCATTGAATAGCTCATTGGTTGGTGGAATTTTTAAAAGCCTAGTTTAAATCCAATTAATTTCACCCTGCTAAGATTGTATCCATGTGGCTGTTTGGAAATGGAGTACAGTTAGTATTGAGGTTTCTCTCGCTCATAAATGGAAAACAGCATGTGTGTTTCAGATCCACTGAAAGTTTTCCTGTGCTGTCAAAGACCTGTCATGAAACCAAGCCACATTTGTATATTTGGGGTAAACGTGACTATCACTAGACTCTGCTCAAAACCTGTCTTTGCCTTTGTCTAAGGGAACTCAACCCTACATTTAAATCTTACTGGCTTTATAGTTGTTGCTCTGGTGTGGCCTGCCTTCCCTGTTTGCATTCATTCAGAGTCCTGCATAAACTGCATAGATTCTAACCCTCACCTCCTCTCTGCCTCCAGCGGATGCAGTGCTGCAGTTTGACGTGGAGCTGATCGCACTGATCCGGGCCAACTACTGGCAAAAGCTGGTGAAGGGCATTTTGCCTCTGGTAGGCATGGCCATGCTGCCAGTCCTCCTTAGCCTCATTGGGTATCACCTATACAAAAAGGCCAGCAGACCTAAAGTCTCCAAAAAGAAGCTCAAGGAAGAAAAAAGAAACAAGAGCAAAAAGAAATAATAAACAATAATTTAAAAAATTCTTTGCATTCTTCAGTTTGTCCCCGGCCCTGGTTGGTCGTGTGGGTAGCAGCCACTCGATGTGTCCCTTTCACGTCGATGTTTCGCTCTCTCTCTCCGTTCCTCTCTCTCCCTCCCACTCTACCTGAACAAAAAATGGAAAAATGTCCTCGGGTGAGGATACAGAAAAAAAAAAAATTCTTTGCATTCTTCACCTGATACTTTCTGAGGCAACTTTTGTAAATGGGAATGAGATGAAGTGGCTGGGGAAAAGGCATTCTAAGTTGGATCTTGTCTGGCATGGGGTGGTTAGAGGCTTTGGATCACTTCTTCCCTTGGCCTCCTCTTCCTGTCCTAACTTACCCCAGGGACCTGTTTTTGAGTCTTCCCATCCGATCTCTGGGTCCTGAACATATGGGTTTTGGCTCCCATAGTGCCCTGACTCCAGGGACAATGCTTCATTGAGAAATAAGCTTCCTGGTAGTTGCCTAGCTATTTTCCCCATGCCCTGGGGCTGCTATAGTCCTTGTGTTCTCTAAGTAGTCTGCTCTGTCCAACATGGCAAAGATATAAGGATTTCATGAACTCTACGGAAATTTTTAATAGCAAAGTCCTTGAGTCTCTCAAAAAATTCTCTAGAGGTTGAAGAGAGATTTTCTCTTTGTATCACAAGATATGAGAGATCACGTGGGCTGCCTCAATGATATTGTAAGTGGTTGGACATTTTTTGTCACCTGGCTGGGTTGTAGATGTGGACAAGGGCTGGGGTAAGTTGCTTCGGTGGTTGACGATGAAGAGTGGGTTGAGCTGGTTCAGCACTTCATCACTCACTGAGATGCCATCCAAGTACTTCTTGAGCATTTCCCGCAGCTTCCCATTGATCTCTAACAATTGGGCATGTCTGTGTTGGAGGCTCAGTTGTTCCAGTTTCACTTTGTTGTACCTTTTCCAAAAATTCTCCATCCCTTTGTAGTTTGTTATATCCTGGGAATTGATTTAAAAAAAAAAAGTTTGTGGTGGAGCCCATTAGCAAATACAGCCCTGGGCCCCATCATCCCCAAACTTAAGCCCAGGTCTCTGGGCCTTAGGAACTGTACCTTTGCCAGCTCCTCCGTAAGCTCCTCTGCACTGACTTTCTCTATCTCCTCCTGCTCCTCGGCAGTCAGTGCTGATGAATAAAAAGGCAGCACTTTTTCTTCCTCTGTTTCAAATTTCCTACATATTTCAGCAAGTTTAAGAATCTTCTCACCCTATTGAAAGCAGGAAGATACCTTTTATTAGGAAAGAGGTGGGAGGGGGAATAGTGGAGTTGGTTCCCTGCTTGAACCAGGGAAGCTACTCATCCAAGTGGGAAACAAGAGTAACATACATGCCCTGGCCAGTTTGGCTCAACAGTTAAGAGTGTTGGCCTGCGGTTCAGAGAGACCCGGGTTCAGTTTCCGTAAGGGCATGTACCTCGGTTGCAGTTTGTCCCCGGCCCTGGTTGGGTCATGCGGGTGGCAGCCACTCAATGTGTCCCTTTCATGTCGATGTTTCTCTATTTCTCTTCCTCTCTCTCCCTCCCACTATCTGAACAAAAAATGGAAAAATGTCCTCAGGTGAGGATAAAAAAAAAAAGAGTAACATACACATCTAACACAGAGTGCTTACTTCGTGCCCAGCACTATTCCAAGTAGATATTTTATATTCTTATAAAGTTAATTCATTATTAATTCATTTAATTTAAAACGCAAGAGGGGAGGGAACATGAAATTAAAAAGGTATTCCAGGTGTCCCCTCAGGCAGGAGCAGGAGAAAGCCTCTGCCTCTCTCAAGCCCCTTTTACTTCGCAGGGGGCTGGGTTCTTTGGTTTGTCTGGACCACCCTCCACCCTTTACCTTATCGACAATCTTTCTTAGGGCTTTGAGGGTGGCATTACTCTCCAGGGTGAGTTTCACTAAATTCTCCTGTGCTATTTCTCGGGCCTGACTTCTTTGGGCCTTAAGTTTTCGTAGTTGTACAAGGACCAACTCCTTGTCATCACGAATATACTGGTTCTGTTCTTCACTCTCACGGCTGTGCATCATGATCTTGCTTTTTAAAATAATTATGGAATCCTGGAAGAACAGAGTAGATTAGAGGAAACACCTGACTAGCTGAGGATCTTCAGTTTAAACACTGCAGTCAAAGCATATCATCTTTTCCCAACCAGTGATGAGGCCCAGTGGAAACGGGAAGATGAATAGGGCATAATGGAGTAGTTAAAGCAGTGAGCATTTTTGTTTGGCTGCACTAACCTGTAGTTTCTGTATTTTTTTCATCTGTACTTCAATATCTTTGGAACTCTTCTCGTCCTTCACCTTCAGGGTCTCGAAGGCAATCTTTCGATCCTCTGTGGCATCAGTGTAATTCTTGAGTGCATCCTGGAACCTTTTCCACAGGTCTTCTACTACATTCTCTAATTGCAGTCTTAGAAAGTGCTTCTCTTCTATATTCTAGGAAGTGGCGCCAAAACAGCCAATGCTTGGAATTACCCTATTAGTGCCCTTTCACTTCCACCAGCAACCTCACACTCTTGCACTGTTTATAGCATAGTACAGTACAGGGGTCACCAGTGAAAATGCCTACAAAGACCAGGCATATGATTGATTACGTGCTGTGGGCTAGATGGGGCCTGTGGTGAGCCAGAGAGGAAATGCTCTTTGGCGGGGGAAGCAGGGAAGGCATAGCTGCTCAGCTCCATTTGGAAATATTGGCCTAGTGTTACTAGATCTTTACATTTTTCAAGGGAAGCTGAAAACTTGGATTTCTATGTGAAACCTCCAATTTTTTAATGTAGAAACCTTATTAAAATGTTTTACAAAACATTACAGGGCAAAATAAAAACAAAGAACCCCATACCCAAACCCAGGTCTGCAGGCCAGCTGAATTTCGCAGCCTCCAGGATGGTGGCAAGCACTTTGGGCCAGGGGGCCAGAGACCAGATTGTCCTCCCAGCTCTGCCACAAACCGGCAGCATGACTTTGACAGATGATTTTACTTTGGAGGGCTTTAGTTTCTTCATCTATAAATCACAGAGGTGAAGCCAGATGATCTTATTGCTTTTTAGCTCTGAAATGCATTTCCTTGATATTTCAGAATGATCCTCCCTCCTGACTAATTTTCACAAAAGTACAAAAGGCAGGAGGGATACCTACAATGGCAACAGGCATTTTATGGATTATATTGATTAAAGGGATTTCCTTGAGCTCTGCTAGCCTTGAGCATTTTTCTCTCACTTCTCTCCCAGCTCTTGCCCATTACTTCCCCTCTGTACCTTGTTTTTGAGGTCATCCCACATGCTCTGGAACTCCAGCTTGCTTTCATACTCAGAATCTATATAGTTCTGCTCCATGGCCATGAAGACATCTTGTAGGTAGTGAATCTCTTTTTCATGTTGGTCAATAATTGTCTTCCTATGGGAGATAAGACACTGTCCCTGCTCCGAAAGATAAAGCATATGGACCAATAATGACAACTCAAAGCACTATGTAATAAAACTGTATGAATGGTACAAACTCTTAGGTACTGAAGGAGAACAGAGGGAGGGAGGGCTCTATTCCTTTTAGGGCCAAAAAGAATGAATGAATAAGATTATTTTATTTTTATTTTTTTATTTTTTATTTTTTTATTTTTTATCCTCACCCGAGGACATTTTTCCATTTTTTGTTCAGGTAGAGTGGGAGGGAGAGAGAGGAACAGAGAGAGAGAGAAACATCGATGTGAAAGGAACACATCGAGTGGCTGCCACCCGCACGACCAACCAGGGCCGGGGACAAACTGCAACCGAGGTACGTGCCCTTAGCGGGAACCGAACCCGGGTCTCTCCAGACCGCAGGCCGACGCTCTAACCGCTGAGCCAAACTGGCCAGGGCTTTATTTTTATTTTTGAATAGTTTAATATACTCATATGATATAAACATCAAAAAGTGCAAAGGTTACAGTGAAGTCTCCTTCCCATTCCTGTCCCCTGCCAAATGGGCAGGATTTTGATAGTTGAAAGTGGGTGGTTAGGGCATTACAAATAGGGACCTGGCATGGGCAAAGAAAGTCTAAGGCCACAAGCTTAAACCCAAGTTAGTTTAGAAGGAAATCAGGATCTTTTTCTGCTGGGGATAATGTCATAATCAAGGTGGGATGCTCCAGAGTGCTGGCCTCCTGCTTACAGGCAGCTCTTTGACATAGGCTCTATATCCTCCCTTGGACTAAAACCCCCATACCTTTCTATCTCAAACTCCTTGGTTAGGGCCTCTAGCTCCACATTGTAATTTTCCTCCAGGAGGTTGAGTCGGCATCTCTGCAGGGCCAATAGCTTGTCAATGTTGTGCAAGTGGCTGCGCAGGGCATGGGCGTACTGCTCCTCAGCTTCTGAGAGGTCCTTGGCTAAAGACTGGGCAGGAAACAGAGAGTTACCATTTTGGCTGGATGGCTTCTGTGTGAGAAAATTAAAAATGTATTCAGCTGGTTAGCTGGATGACAAATGGCATTTCCCCCTAGTTCCTAATGCCAGTTCTTTAGCTCTAAGAGTGCTGGTTCTCCCATTCTTTTTTTTTTTTTTTATCCTCACCTGAGGACATTTTCCATTTTTTTGTTCAGATAGAGTGGGAGGGAAAGAGAGGAAGAGAGAGAGAAACATCGATGTGAAAGGGACACATCGACTGGCTGCCACCCACACAACCCACCCAGGGCTGGGGACAAACTGCAACCGAGGTACATGCCCCCAGTGGGAACCGAACCCAAGTCTGTTGGGACCACAGACCAACACTCCAACTGCTGAGCCAAACCAGCCAGGGCGGTTCTCCCATTCTTTTTTTTTTATCCTCATCCGAGGATATTTTTCCATTTTTTGTACAGACAGAGTGGGAGGGAGAGAGAGAGGGAAACATCGATTTGAAAGGGACACATCGAGTGGCTGCCACCCGCACGACCAACCAGGACCGGGGACAAACTGCAACCAAGGTACGTGCCCTTAGCGGGAACCGAACCCGGGTCTCTCCGGACCGCAGGTGGACGCTCTAACCGCTGAGCCAAACCGGCCAGGGCCGGTTCTCCCATTCTTGAATGTAAAGTCAGAGTGACATCAGAGAACCCCATAGAGCCCTCCAGTGTCCTAGGGACAACAAACATTTGCAATGATTGTTAGAGAATGGCTGCTTCAAAATCTGAAGCAAAAATAAACAAGTTGAACCTGGGGTATCTTGTCAGGGAAAAGAAGGAATCAAGCATTTTACCTGCCTTTCTTATATAAACTATACCTTTGGGTAAATGATGGGAAGTATCTCTTTATAGAAGTATTCAAGCTAATAACTAGCCTGGCTGCTGTGGCTCAGTGGTTGAGCGACGACCCATGCACCAAGAGGTCGCAGGTTCGATTCCCAGTCAGGACACATGCCCAGGTTGTGGGCCAAATTCCCAGTGGCGGGGGGGGCATGCAGGAGGTGGCCCATCGATGTTCTCGCTTATCAATGTTTCCATTTATCCCTACCTCTTCCTTCCTTTCTCTCTAAAATCAATAAAGAAAAAAAATTTTTTAGTATGTTTTTATTGATTTTTCAGAGAGAGAGAAGGGGAGAGAGAGATTAAAACACCGATGTGAGAGACAAATATCAATCGGCTGCCTCCTGCATGCATCCTAATGGGGATCAAGCCTGCACCCGGGCATGTGCCCTGACTGGGAATCGAACCCAGACCTCTCAGTCCATGGAACAACGCTCAATCCACTGAGCCACACAGGCCAGGACACTATGTAACTTTCTATCTTTTGAATTTTGGACAGTAGAAATGTATTACCATCCAAGAAAGTAAGATAAAATTAGAGTAAATAAAACAAAAAAGCATTTACTGAGTTCCCATATGATCCAAATACCTTGAGTCCACTCACTGTGAACTACTACAGCCTCTACACAGAGCTGGCTTTTACCTTATACTATGTTTACATGGAAAAGTTTTGTTTTTGTTTTTTTTATTCTAAGGGAGAGGTAGAAAGAGGAATAGGAAAAATGCTGGGATAAAGGAAGGGGACATGAAGGGTTGGGAGGAGAGAGGTGGAGGGAGAGGCGGTGAGGAGGAGAAAGAAGAGGAAGAGGAGGTGGCAGAGGTGTGGAAGAGGAGAGAGGGGAAAGGAGAGAGGAGGAGGAGAAACTTACATGGAAAAGGTTTTTATGAAATAGGTTCTGATAATGAATGACTATTTACTCACTCAACAAATATTTACCAAACCTGCTATGTACCAGCACTTGCTGGATACTGAGGATTTAATTTTTTTTTTTTTTTATCCTCACCCAAGGACATTTTTCCATTTTTTGTTCAGATAGAATGTGAGGGAGAGAGAAAGAGAAACATCAACATGAAAGGGACACATCGAGTGGCTGCCACCCGCACAACCAACCAGGGCCGGGGACAAACTGCAACCGAGGTACATGCTCTTAGAGGGAACCGAACCCGGGTCCCTCTGGACCGTAGGCTGACGCTCTAACCGCTGAGCCAAACTGGCCAGGGCGATACAGAGGATTTAGGGATTAAAAACATGCTCACTGCCCTGAAAGGAGCTTGCATTCTTGCAGTAGGAAAATAATTATATAAATAGAACATTACGGTTTAACATGGAAATTGCCATGAGGTTACAGTGACAATGGGATATGAAGGACTGAGTGCTACATCTAACTAACTAAGAGCACTGGGAAAAGCTTCACAGAAGAGATGTCATTTGTGTCACTCTTGAAGGAAGAGTGAGAGTTGGCCGGGGAGACTGGGGAGATGGTGAGGGGGATTCCAGACAGAGGAAACAGAATGTGGAAAGGCACAGGTAAGAAACAAAGCTGACTGTGTGAAAGGTACAGGTAGAGGGTAGATCCTGAAGGCCTTTGATGTTCTTTCCATGAAATATGGATTTTTTTCCAGTAGAAGTGGGGAGCCACTAAGGAGATTTAGGCAGTAGAATAACAGGATCAGATTTTTGTTTTAGAAAGATAATGAGGTTCAGGTCAAGATGGTGGCATAATTAAAGGCAGTACTGGAATCCTCCCACAACCACATCAAAATTACAACTAAACTATGGAACAACCATCATTAAGAACCACCTGAAATTTAGCTGTACAGAAGTTCCACAACCAAGGATATAAAGAGGAAGCCACATTGAGACTGGTAGGAGAAGCAGAGATGCTGAACAGACTGGTCCCACACCCACATGTGGAGGGATGTCTCAGATGCAGAGGTCTCCCCTGAAGTGTGAGGGGTCCTAGACCCACACTAGGTTTCCCAAACCAGGGTTCTAGTGCCAGGATGAGAAGTCTCCATAACTTCTGGCTGCAAAATCCAGCAGGAATTGTGGCTGAGTGAGACAGAGCGCTTCCGGAAAGGGCCTAGCGCACACATTTATTTGGACTCACTGGGGCACCAGTGACATAAAGGTAGGAACTAATTTATCTGGCAACAAACTGAGTTGTCTGGCATTGAGGCAAGAGCTGGAAGGGCAGCTTTTTCCAAGACATAAGTGCTAGCAGAGGCCATTGTTCTTTTTCTGGGCCCTCGCCACACAGAGCCTGTAGTCAAGTACCATACCTGAGTCTCCATCAACCTGGCTAACACTGTTGGCCTTGGTCCTGATGACTCCCTGAGACCCCACCACACCTATCTTGTGGGCCCACCCAAGCTGTTTCCAGTGGCTTTTCCATACAAAGACTTGTCTTGGCTTATGCTTTGGACTTTCCCAAAATCTCTCACAAAAGCAGCCTCTGGCCTCAGCATGCCACATACCTCTCGCTAAGTGGCCCCAGGTCTGGCACTAGCAGCAGCCAGCCTTGGTTCACAGCTTGGCCTCTCCTGGGTAAATCCAAGCCCAGACAAGTAGCAGCCATCCGAACATTGCTTTGTAGCTCATGCAGGGTGGCCCTGGGCAGAGCACAGATGGTGGCTGACCTTGATCTGCACCTCCCAGAAGGCTCTAGACCCAACACATCTGGTGGACAGCTTCAGACCGGGTTGAAGCACCACCTAACCTCCTCTACAAGGGACACATTCAAAGGATAGACTCAGCAGCCACCAGAGTCCTGCTGAAGTAAGTCTTGCTCCATGGGGTTGGCCCCTGCACAGCTGATCGTCCATGGTGGTTGCAGCCAGTTCTCATAGCCAGTCAGCCTTGAGTAAATCCCCCATGTTGATGTACCAACAGCAATCAAGGCTCAACTACAACAGGAGGATGGACACAGCCCACACTGGCCGGGGGGGGGGGGGGAGGGCACACCTGAGTGCCCAGCTTAGGTGATCAGGAAGGCTGTACCACTGGATCCTACAGGACACCTTCTACACAAGGTCACTCTACCAAGACCGGGAGACGTAGCAGTTCTACCTAATACATAGAAACAAACAAAGGGATGCAGCCAAAATAAGGAGACAAAGAAATATGTCCCAAATGAAATAATACAAAAAATGCCAGAAAAAAAAACTAAATATAATGGAGATAAGCAGTCTACCAAATGCAAGGTTTAGAACACTGGTTATAAAGATGCTCAATAAACTTAGGGGAAGAATAGATAAGCGCAGTGAGAACTTCAACAAAAGATAGAAAACATAAAAACAGAGATAGAAAACATGAAAAAGAACCAGTCAGAAATGAAGAATACATTATAGGGAATCAATAGTGGAGTAGGTGAAGCAGGGGATCATATTATCAGAGATTTGGAAGATAAGAAAGCAGAAAACACCCAATCAGAACAGCAAAAAGAAAAAAGAATTTTAAAAAATGAGGATAGCCCTGGCCAGTCTGGCTCAGCAGTTGGAGCATCGGCCTGTGGATCAGAGAGTCCTGGATTCAGTTCCCGCTAGGGGCACGTACCAAAAAAGAAAAAAAGAAGAAAAAAAAAGGAAACATTAAAAAAAAATGAGGATAGTATAAGGAACCTCTGGGACAACTTTCAGCATACCAACATTCACATTATGGATCATGGAGGTGCCAAAAGGAGAGGAGAAAGAGTGAAGAATTGAAAACCTATGTGAAAAAATAATGACTGAAAACTTCCCTAACCTGGTGAAGGAAATAGACATACAAGTCCAGGAAGCAGAGAGAGTCCCAAATAAGAAGGCCAACACTGAACCATAAAAAAGAATGAAATCTTGCAATCTACAACAACATGGATGGACCTAGAGGGTACTGTGCTGAGTGAAATTAGTCAAACAGACGAAGACAAATGCTACATGATTTCACTTATATGTGGAATCTAAACAAAATAAAATGCAGAACAGAAACAGACTCATAGATACAGAGAACATTTTGATGGTTACCATATGGGAGGGGGTGGGGTGGGGAGATGAATGAAAAAGGTAGAGAGATTCAGAAGTACAAATTGGTAGTTACAGAATAGTCATAGGGAAGTACAGCAGAGGGAATATAGTCAATAATACTGTAATAACTATGTATGGTGCCAGATGGGTACAAGATTTATTGGGGTGATCGCTTAGTAAGTTATATAATGTCTAATCACTGGGTTGTACACCTCAAAACTAATATAACCTGGCGGGGTGGCTCAGTTGGTTGAAGCATCATCCCATACAACAAAAGGTTGTGGGTTCGATTCCCACTCAAGGCACATATCTAGGTTGCGGGTTCGATCTCCAGTCAGGGAGAATATGGGAGGCAACCAAATGATGTTTTTTTCTCACATCAATGTTACTCTCTCCCCCTTCCTTTCTCTCTAAAATCAATAAAAATAATATAATACTGTATGTCAACTGTAATTGAAAAATAAAAAAATTATTTAAAGTTTAACTAAAATAATGTGATCTAAAAAAAGAAAGATAATCTGGTAGTTGTGTAGACAATCACCTGGAGGCGTTGGGCAAGAAGGCTGGAATATAGAAGATGACTGCAGGGGTCCATAAGAGAGATAATGCTCAAGTCTCAGCTACAGCAGGACAGTGGGGAAAGAGAGCAGGATATGGTTTTGAAAAATACTTAAGCACAAGATTTATATAAGACTTAGTAAAAGAAGTCAGGAATGGAGGCAAAACCTAGGATGATTACCAGATTTCTGGGTTGGGTGATTTGGTGAATGACAGACACCAGCCACACTAATAGAAATTATAAGGAAGACCAAATTGTGGAGTATGGGGAATGGGGCTGGCTAGGGAAGGGGAAGCCCATGAGTTCAGTTGTGAGGAAAGTACAAAAGCCAGGAACAGACATCCAGGAATCTTGAATATAAGGATTTGGAACTCAAGAGAAAAATACAGGCTAGTGTTACAGACCTGGGAATCATCAATATATAAGTGGTATTTAAAGCCATGGTAAGGAGCCCTGGCTGGTTTGGCTCAGCAGTTAGAGCATCAGCCCGAGGACCAATGAGTTGCGGGTTCAATTCCGGTCAAGGGCATACACCTCAGTTGCGGTTTGTCCCTGGCCCTGGTCGGGGTTCATGCGGGAGGCAACTAGTCGATGTGTCCCTCTCACGTCAATGTTTCTCTTTCTCTCTCCCTCCCTCCCACTCTATCTGAAGATAAATAGAAAAATATCCTTGGGTGAGGATTAAAAATAAATAAATAAATAATAAAGCCATGGTAATGAATACAATGGTCTAGACCCTAGACCAGCAATTTTCAAACTTTTTCATCTCATGGCACATATAAATTAATGACTAAAATTCTGTAGCACACCAAAAAATATATTTTTTGCTGATCTGACAAAAATAGGTATGATTTTTATTCATTCACACCAATGGCTATTATTGTGTTTGGCTTTTGGCATATTTTAATTTGACACTCTAAGGGAAAAGAGGTAAAGGGTGAGATGGTCAGACTCAGAAACCTGGGAAATGCTAAAGTTCAAGTGATGGAGAGAGGAAGGTGAACTTACAAATGAAACTGGATGTATGTATCCTAGCGGCAGGAGAAAAGCTACAAAAGGTGTCATAGAAACCAAAGGGGACTTTCAAAAAGGAGAGCATGACCAAGAATGTCAGTGTTGCCCTGGCCAGTTTGGCTCAGCAGTTGAGCGTTGGCCTGCGGACCAGAGAGTCCCGGGTTCGATTCCCACTAAGGGCAGGTATCACACACAAAAAAAGAATGTCAATGTTACCCTGGCTGATTTGGCTCAGCAGTTAGAGGGTGGGCCCGTGGACTGGAGAGTCCAGGGTTCGGTTCCTGCTAAGGGCAGGTACCTTGGTTGCAGTTTGTTCCCAGCCCCAGTTGGGGTCGTGTGGGTGGCAACCACTTGATGTGTCTCTCTCACATCGATGTTTCTCTCTCTCTTCCTCCCTCTCTTCCTCCCGCTCTATCTGAAGATAAATGCAAAAATGTCCCTCAGGTGAGAATAAAAAAAAAAAAGAATGTCAGTGTTGCCCTGGCCAGTGTTGCTCCGTGGTTAGGGCATCAGCCCTTGGACCAAAGGGTCTCAGGTTCTATTTCCAGTTAGGGGCATGTACCTAATTTGCAGGTTCAATCCCCAGCACTGGTCAGGGTCATGTGAGAGGCAACCAATCGATGTGTCTTTTTCACATTGATGTTTCTCTCTCCCTCTCTCCCTCCCTTGCACTCTATCTAAAAATCAATGGAAAAGTATCTTTAGATGAGGATTAACAAAAAATAAAGAAAGAACCTCCCAAGAGCATGAGGATGGCTGATTGAATTGTTCAGAGATTCAGAACTGCTCTTACCCATGGAGATCTCAGCCTTATCCAGGGCCACTGAAGTTGAATCAAAGAGGCCAAACAGAATTTGGTTGAATAAGGCACTGAAGTGAGAATCCAGAAACCTGTCCTGTAGTCCCAGCTCTCTCATTGACTAGCTGTGTGACCTTGGGCAAGCCATTTCCTGCCTCTAGGACGGAGTAGTCTCACATTGAAATGAAGATATAGACCAAGTTCAAGTCTTTGGGTGATGTCTACTGTGCCTCATAACTCAAAAATTAGATAGTACTGGTTTGGGGCAGGAGATGTCTAAAAAGAATGGCTCCTCTAAGTGAAAGAGAGGAATGACCACCTAATATTCTATGTTTCATTTCAGTGAAAATTGTCATTACCGATAGCCTGGCTTCATCATCACAACCAGCTTCTTGTATGGGCTTTAAGATTGAGAAATTAGCCCGGCTGGTATGGCTCAGTGGATTCAGCATTGTCCCATGGATTGAGAGGTCCCGGTTGATTCCCAGTCAGGGCACATGCCTGGGTTTTGGGCTCGATCCTCAGTGGGGTTGTGCAGGAGACAGCTGATTGATGTTCTCTCACATCGATGTTTCTATCTCTCTCTCCCTTTCCCCTTCCTCTCGCGCTAAAAAAATCAATTTAAAAAGACATTTTTAAAAAAGAATAACTTTGTCTAAAAAAAACGATTGAGTAATTAATTTTCTAGGCCCATTCTATTAAGAGAAGAGATCAAGACAACCATATTTAAGTATTTTCTTGGGAGGAACACCTACCTTGATGACACTGTCCTTGCAATCCACCACTCGTTCAAATGTTTGGCTGAGAATCTCAATGTCCTTATGAAGCTCTTTGGTCTTGACTTCTCGAAGAACAGTTCTCCACTGTGTGTTAATCTTATTAAGGTTCAGAGCACTATTGTGCTCCTCCTTAGCCAGCTTGTCCTGTGTGAAGGAATAAATACACCTGCAGGAGGTCAGGGCCAAAAGCCTGATACAGTACAACAAACAAGATCACACTTAGTTTGTCAACTGACACCTCTCCCCATTGATTTTTCTGAGGGACCAAAGCTTCTGATGGCTAACACTCAGGTAGTTCCTGTTATTGTTTTGGGAGCAGCCTCAAGTGACACAGGAAGAGCCAGATGGCATTTTAAGAAAGGGAAGGGTGAATTTCTTTTAGGGTGGAGGAGGCTATTTGTAATGACCCTCTCCAGGGAGATTATCAGAATTTCAAACATTTCGAACAGTTGTGGAGCTCAGTTGCGACTGCCACACTCTATACCACCGCCCCTCCTTCCAAACACTGTTGCCTGAAATCTCAACATATTTAGGTCTCAAGATTTCCAGAGGAGGGAGGCCAGCATGAAAATGAGGCTGCCACAATGACGGGGTTAATGCAATAGGGTCAGCGCAAGGAGTAGGTGGGGTTGGGCAGGGAATAATGCAGAAAGCCATCACCTTCAAGAACTGACTCAGAAGCCTCTCCTTCTTCTTGGCCATCTCCTCCTCTGCCAGCAACTTCTGCTGAAACAGAAGCAACTGCTCCTCCTGGGACAGCGGCGTCTTGGCCTTTTTCCCTTTCTTAGGCATAGCTGGGTAGAGGACTGGATCTAGGCAAGGGTCCTGGGCCCGCCACGGCCAGCGTTAGAGAGGTAGAAGGAAAACGCCCCCAGAAAGAGACTTTCTGGAACTGCTCCGTGAATGGTAGTGGGGGCGGTAGACCTCAGTCCTGGGGCAACACCAAGCCTGGGATAGCGGGGAGGCAGAGCTCGCAGGCCAAAAGACGCATCTCCGTCTCCTAGCAACGGGATCTCGCTAAAATGGCGCTGTGAGGCTAGGAAGACAGGCCTCGCCTTGGCGCGCCCTCTGCCGCCTGGAGGACCGCAATGAGGGATTTTTTTATTGTGGAGAGAGAGTCGTTTTGCCTCTCAAAATCCCTAGCCTCCTAACTGAAACTTTAAAAATCTTTTTTGTTTGTTTTTCATGGAATGGCCATAGTTTAAAATACAGATAACAAATTTTGGAGATAATATAGAGAAATGGGAACCCTCATGCTTTGCTGGTGGGAATGTAAAATGGTGCGACCACTTTGGAAGACAGTTTGGCAGTTTCTTTTTTCTTTTTTCCTCCCTCCCTTCCTTCCTTTCCAAAAGGTCTGAGCTGGCAGGAGGTCACATCCACAACACAAGGCCAATGTAGAGCAAAATGGCTTTGTTACATGCGCTTGGGTGCAGGTGGGCTGAGCTGAGAAGAGTTCAGCCTCAAATTAGGGTTGGGGTGTCGGTTATATACCCTACTTTTAGCTTCCGGCAGTTCCTGCTGATGTACTTTATCTGACCCATTGTCCACTTTGCAGTAGGACTGATCTGGTATCTCGTTCAGCATCTGCTGGGTTATCCATTGCCTTGTGGAGAATCCAGATAATCCTTATTTGTACTCAACAAAAGGCTGAGCAAAGGTCATGCAAGCAACACAATTTCCACAGTTTCCACCTTTTGCAAACTTTTACCTTTACCCTTTAAAACATTACTAACCCTTTTCCTTCCTTCCTTCCTTCCTTCCTTCCTTCCTTCCTTCCTTCCTTCCTTCATCTAATTGGCTTTACTGAACAATTTATGAATTGGGCAGCATCCCATCTAGTAAATAGAGAATTGCTCTAGCAGTTTCTTAAATTTTTAACATAAATTTACCATGCAATATAGCTATTTTACTCTTCAGTCTAAGCTATCTAACTATGGATACATGTTGCAACATTAATAAATCTCAAAAATATGAAAGAAGCCAGATACAAGAGACAACATATTGAGAAGGTCCTTTATATGAAATATGCAGAAAAGGCAGAAGCATTGTGTCAGAGAAGGCAAATGTAAATGTCTGTTTTAGTAAGAACAAAACACTGAAGAAGTAGCCAATGTAACCAACCTGTTCACCCAGGGGAATGGTACCATGTAGAGGAGCCTAGTGTGGGTCTTTGCTGCTTGCAGATTGGGCTCTCAGTGATTCCCATAGCCAGGCTGGCCTTGGTGAATGACAGATCAAGTGGCTGAGTCCATGCATAACCTCCTTCACTTTATTTATTTATTTCATTTTAACCCTCACCCAAGGATACTTCTTCCATTGATTTTTAGAGAGAGTGAAAGGGGGACAGGAGAGAGAGAAAGAGAGAGAGAGAGAGAGAGAGAGAGAGAGAGAGAGAGAGAGAGACATCGATGTGAGAGAGACACAGTGATTGGTTGCCTCCCACACATGCCCCGACCGGGGTCTGTGATTGGGAATTGAACCTACAACGCTTTGGTGTGTGGGCCAAGGCTCCAACCATTGAGCCACACGGGCCAGGGCTAGCCTTCACTTTAGAAGGAATACCTTGATGACCCACACCACTGGTTTCATAAAATTTCATTGAACTGGAAAGCCCCTAAACTGGATGGCTAGATCAGCTTTAATAGAGGGTATTTATTGGTTCCCCATGGCCAGGGGGTCCCTCCTGGAATTCTATGCATGGCTGTTGGCCTACATGCCCGGCTCTGGTGCCACAACAGGAAGACCTCTCCCCTCCACGGGATCTGAAATAGTTGGGGGCATGCCTGAGAGCTACTGAGCATACACTTAAGCAGAACAAAGGAGTACACACTGAGTATGAAACAGGGAAAGGTGTTCCCACACAAGGTGATAAGCCCAGCACAGACTGTGTGGTCTCTTTATCTCTTGGTAAGAAAGTGTTCCAGGCCCAAGGTCCATTCTTACGTGGCCGAACACGGGTGGAAAGATTGGGCATGAGACTGCCTTTTCCAACAGGTGATCAAAATCCCTGTGAACTAAATTATGACATAGGGCTGCACAGTTGATATACCCCTGGGGTAGGCTAGTGAAAGTGTATTGCTGGCCTTGCCAGCTGAAAGCAAATTGCTTCTGGTTCTTATTGACAGGGATGGAGAAAAAGGCATTTGCCAGATCAATAGCTGCATACCAGGTACTAGAGGACTTGTGAATTTGCTCAAATAATGAAACCACATCTGGCACAGCACCTACAATTAGAGTTACCTCATGGTTAAGCTTACAATAATCCACTGTCATTCTACAAGATCCATCTATCTCCTGCACAAGCCAAACAGATGTCACTGGAAAGGGACCGGGCAGACGGGGTCTGCCTTGAGCCAGCCGGTAGTGTGTGTGTTCTTAACTTGATGCAGGATAGATTTCACAATACGAGTCCAGATGATTTTAAGAGTACATTTATTAAAGTTGGAAACAGTGAAACAATGTAAGGGCTTAGGGTAGAAGAAGCAACAGGAGAGAGCCTAGGCAGTGCTCTGCTTTGGCTCTCTAGAAATCTAGAGGAAAGAAGTGAGCCACTGTGGGGCTGCTGTTAGCTCCCTGCAAAGTCATACAAAAGGGGGCATTGGAGACAGGTTCAAGGGGATAAGCCTGGGATTAGCTGCCCGCTGCCTATTACTGCCCAGTTGCAAATCTCATGGGGAGAGAGTTTCAGAGAAAAAAGTAAAGATGCATACCTGAGAGGGAAGAAAGTCGGGGGTTGCTTCAGAGAGAGCCAGGGATAGCTCTTTGTCTTGAGGATACTTATCTGTTTTCTAAAAGTAGAAATTTTAGGGGAGAATCTCAATAGAACAGTCATCAGCTTTATGCTGATGAACCAAAATGAGGTTTATTCCCCTAACTTCATCTGTCCTTGGGTGTGGTTGGCACAAACAGCACTAATTGGACTTCTGCTGTCTCCCTGAGTAGGGTGATTTAAGCTATTTGCCCTCTGGTTGAGGAGAAGTATAAACCTTGATTAGGGGAGATAGGATTTTTCAATTTATTAATATCTGTAAACCCACAACTTTAAAAAAAAAATTTAATCACATACTATAACATTTATGCTTTTCCTTTTCACCTTTTTAATGATGTTTTGCTTGTTTTTAACCAATAGGATATTTAGAAATTTAATACAGTTAAATGTATCAGTCTTTAGACTTACTAATTTTTTTTTATATTGTTTAAGAAGTCTTTCCCAATCCTAAAGTCATAAGGATAGGTTCCTACCTTATTCTCTCTTTTTTATAAATATGGTTTTTTTTTGGTTATTTTTTCTTGTTTTTTAGAGAGAGAGGAAGGAAGAGAGAGAAAGAAACATCAATATGAGAGAAATATCCATCGGTCACCAGGGATCAAGCCCGAAACCTGGGCATGTGCCATGACCGGGAATTGAACTGGGACCTCTCAGTCCATGGGACGATGCTCAGTCCACTGAGCTACACCAGTCAGGCTCGGCATGTTAGTTTTCATTTAAAAACCCTGTTGGGATTTTATGGGGTATTGCAATGAATCTCTAGATAAGTTTGGGGAGAAGTGCCATCTCTATAATACTGAGTTGTCTGATTCATGGACATGATAAATCCCTGTATTTATTTAGGTTCTTTAACTTCTCTTAATATTGTTACATAAATTTCCTGTTTAGAGGTCTTGAATATTTTATGAGAATTCGTCTCAGATATTTGATTTAAAAAAAATTTTAACCTTACACGAGGATATATTTATTGAATTTTAGAGAGAGAAGAAGGGCCCTGGCTGGTTTGGCTCAGCGGTTAGAGCATCGGCCCACAGACTAATGAGTCGCGGGTTTGATTCTGGTCAAGGGCATGTACCTTGTTTGCCATTTGTCCCCAGCCCTGGTTGGGTCGTGAGGGAAGCAACCAGTCAATGTGGCTCTATCACATCGATGTTTCTCTCAGTCTCTCTCTCTCCCTCCCCCCTCCCACTCTATCTAATGATAAATGAAAAAATATCCTCAGGTGAGGAATAATTTATATATATATATATATATATATATAACCCTGGTCGGTTTGGCTCAGCTGTTAGAGCGTCAGCCTGTGGTCCAGAGAGACCTGGGTTTGGTTCTCGCTAAGGGCGTGTACCTCGGTTGCAGTTTGTCCCCAGCCCTAGTTGGGTCGTGCGGGAGTCAGCCACTCCATGTGTCCCTTTCACGTCGATGTTTCTCTCTCTTTCTTTTTCTCTCTCTCCCTCCCACTCTATCTGAACAAAAAATGGAAAAATGTTCTCAGGTGAGGATTAAAAAAAATATGTATGTATACACACACATACACACACGTATATATAAAGAGAGAGAGAGAGAAAAGGAGAGAGAAAGAGAGAAACATTGATCAGTTGCCTCACAACCTAGGTATGTGCCTTGACTGAGAATCAAACCATCAATGTTTTGTGTAAGGGGCAAAGCTCCAACCAATGGAGCCACGGGGCCATGGCTTAGATATTTGGTATTTTTATTCAAATGTAATTGATATCTTGTTGCTGACATATTGATCTATATAAAATTTTGATTTTTGAAAACTGATCTTTGCCTGGCCAGTGTGACTCAGTGGTTGAGCCTCGACTCATACATACATCACGAGGTGGCCAGTCAATTTCAGGCCAGGGCATGTGCCCAGGTTGTGGGCCTGATCCCCAGTGGGGGGCATGCAGGACGTGGCCAATCTATGTTCTCTCTTATCGATGTTTCTATGTCTCTCTCCCACTCCCTTCCTCTCTCTCTAAAATCAGTAAAGAAAAAGAAAATTGATCTTGAGTCCAGTGAAAGTATTACTAAACTCTCTTCTTTATTATTATTTATTGATTTTAGAGAGAGAAAGGGAGAGTGAGAGAAAGAGAGACTAACATCAATTTGTTGTTCCACTTATTTATGCATTCATTGGTTGCTTCTTGTATGTGACCTAACCAGAGATCCAACCTGAA